GAGAAGAAGGGGCTTCCGTAGTGCAAATTTCAATGCGTCCCAGAGTGTTCAAGTGACAGGCGGGCGATGGATGGTTGAAGGTTGGTATAGCGCTAAAACAATGGACGAATCAAGAGCGGGACAGATCATGACACGATCATACTTGCCTTGAATTGCAGGTTGGAAGACCCCTGCTCCAAGCCCACACACAGGTCCGAGACGACTGCGGGACGATGACTGGAATGACTCGACTGTGGCGGGAGAAGAAGGGGCTCCCGTAGTGCCAACTTCAATGCGTCCCAGAGTTCTTAGACGGCCGGTAGGTGACGGATGATTGATGACTGATAATGCGCTGGAACCAATGAACGAATCATGAGTGGTACTGGTCGAGAAACAGATGATACTTGCCTGACGTAACAGACTGGAAGACCACCTTTTCAACTCACACACAGGGCCGGGACGACTGTAGAACGCTGGCACGAATTGCTCGACTGTGGTGAGAGAATTAGTGGCTTCCATGGTGCTAACATCGGTGCGTCCCAGAATGTTTTTTAACTTTACTCTGTCTGGTCCATTGTTGAGGGGTCCGTTTTGGGTGTTTGTGTATTTGGATCCAGTTTTGCCAGCTTCGTTGGGTGTTGAGATTTTTGCGCACCAAAAATTTTCGAACTCGCGGAACATGATGCCCTTGGACCAGGTTGCAGTATCCAGTGCCTTAGTCTTCAATCTTTTGTCGATGCCAACTTTGAAGGATACGAATGACAGCGTGCTGATGTCCTTTCCCTTGGGTACAAGTTTTATGACAACAGGGTTGTTATCTGTTTCCAAATTGGTTTTCACCATGGCAGAAACCGCTTCATTGGCAACTTCCGGATGAATATGGGATAAGTACAGCCAGAATTTTAGTTCTCTCTGGTCAGTACTTGTGGGAACAACAACTACATTGTCAGCTGGTTGTTTGCTACCCACCTGACACGCATCAGGAGCACGTGTTGCACCATCAACATCTCGTTGGCGTTTGGATGTCACGAGAGGACCTGCTGTAGGCCACCTTTTCCTCGATGGCGTTGTCGGAGCAGTGGACTTAACGGCCATCTGCTGTATTTCGTTGCGTAGCTCCATGATAGTATTTGTTAATGAACAAATCGGCCCTGCATTGTTAGTTGGCATAGTCATTGTCCGAAAATGTGAGTTTTCGAACAGTCCGCACATCCATCATACATCCAGAACAAGTTCTTTTTGTTGGATGTGAAATACGACAGCAAAGCGCGACTCATTCCGGCGCACGTCATATGAAAAGTGGATCCACAGTAGCCACGACAAGTGGGGAAGTCAATACCTGTGATTGCATCTGAGCATTTGTTGCCGGTTTTTGCCATCTCGTTGAACACTCGCAAGCAGTGTATGCACAAGTGATAAAAAACACGAGGTATATTAATTTTCGCCTCTCAGTAGACTACACGCAGAACTGTGTGGTATGATCCGTGTGCTTTTAAGTTGTAGCAAGATGTTGAATGCAACTTTACTACCTTCGACTCAACAGCAGATGTCGCTTCGAAAGAAAAAATCTGCGTGGGGAGCTGCAGATGACATTATCGCAACACGAAAAACAAGAGGAACTTTACTTCACTTTTATATTACGAAATATCAATCTTCCGAGTCAGAAAACTGACGAGACTCCACCGGCAGAATAAAATAGAAGAGGTAAACAAATGAACGAAACACGTTTGACGAATAAAAACACTATTTATATTCAATAAAACGCTTAAAAGTATCGAACAGAAAACTGTAAACGATTGTCAACAAACAGTCAAACTCGATTTATGAGTTGATTTGTTGATAGGTAGGGTCCAGGTGTGGAAGCTGCCTTCCTGGCGTTGGTAGCATTGGTGCTCAACACGGAAAACAAGATCGACGGAAAACAAATCTAAGGAAAAAAATGCTCATTCTCAAAAACGCAGATGTAGGGTGAGGGATCTTAAGGGATCTTTACATAGAAATTGTTTTAAGGTGATACGATCCAGAACCTCGGGCTCTGGTTCCACTTCGCTTTTTCCAGGAGTCCATTATCTGCTACTGGAAAACATACAATAACAAAACTGTGATGACAATTTAGTGCCTCAAATCACAATAGTGTCCGAGATTAACTCCCAAGAAAACTCGAAGTGGCAGTGAAAGTGCCTGTGGACGCTGAACCATACCACCTGGACCATGACTTGGAAAATTGGTAACTACACTGCAATGTTCATTTCTGTTTGTCAAACTTTGTAAACATATCAAACAGAAATGAATAAATAGTGTATTACTGAATTATAAGTGGGGATGGGTGGAATTCACTAGCCCGAGAATACCCTCCACATGCTAGCCTCTTCACCAACCATACATCAGTACACACTTATCGATATATATATATATATATATATATATATATATATATATATATATATACAGGGTGTTTGGTTCCGGGTTTTACATATTTTCAGGGTAGATAGGGCTCCTAAAGTTATGAAAAAATCCCCATGAAACATAGGGTCGGAAATGACTGCTAAGTGAGTTATTCAACATTTTATGTTTTTCTGTATTGCCAACTTTGGTTAGCTATATTTTTTTAATCTTAATGTGGTTTTCTGATTTTAACATACCAAATGAAAGATTAAAGTCTTAGCTATCAATGCTCTTTGAAAAAGAACTCGATTAAAGTTAATTATCATACATTAAAATTGAAAAGTATGTTGAAAGTACCAAAAAAACTGGTGAAATTTCATACGTTTTAGTGTTTTTAAGTTGAAAATTTTCATTTCTGTTTATTTAGTTGTTCTACAAAACATTTTCCATGCAGTTCCCTAGATTTGTGCCTTTGGTAGTAACCTTGTAGGCTTTATGGTTTCTTCGTAATTATTGATTTAAAACAGCCATAAAAACTTGTGACGTTTTTATAAAATGCGCTATAGTCACCCTATTCGTTCGTACGTTCGGCTGTTGCAGTGGACTACGCATATGAAAATTTGGTAGAATGTTATTGTAAATGTTTAGCTACATTCTTAACTTTTGATTACCGCACATCTCCTGCGCGGAAAGAAAACATAACTGCGGAGATGTTTCGCGGTATCGAATATTGCTCAGTCTCAGCAGAAAGCACAACGAGAGACACCGAATCGGCGAATTCTGAGAGCGGATGGGAGAGAAGTAGGTAGTGGTAATAAGTCGATGTCCTTTTTATTTCATAGCACTCGCAGCTCAGCTGCGGTGCTGTTTTGATGAAGGAGTGTGGAGCTCCGCTGCTTCTGCATGCACACTTAGATTTTTTTACAGGAGTTAGTATTTTTACTGGATTTTTGGATTACTGACTCGGCTAAAATTCAAATGACTGTTAATCGTAAAGATTGGTTAAAATCAAAAAAAAAAAAATTTTCATCATTACACGGGGTTAACAGAAGTTAGTCTGTAAATTTTCGTAACACATTTTCTCAACTTTGAATTTTTCACAGATTTTTTAAATTTTACCGAAGAGTTCCGCAATTCAAAAACTTGGTAAAAAGTACTGACTCGATAAGTGTGTACTGATGTATGGTTGGTGAAGAGGCTAGCATGTGGAGGGTATTCTCGGGCTAGTGAATGCCACCCATCCCCACTTATAATTCAGTAATACACTATTTATTCATTTCTGTTTGATATGTTTACAAAGTTTGCAAACAGAAATGAGCATTGCAGTGTAGTTACCAATTTTCCAAGTCATAGACTTCAGATAACTGTTCAAAGTCCCAGATTTTTTTTATAACGGAATCATGAACAAAAAACCAAAGACCACTATGACACACGCGATGGGTCTGAAGGGATCTTTACATAGAAATTGTTTTTAGGTGATACGATCCAGATCCTCGGGCTCTGGTTCCACTTCGTTTTTTTCCAGGAGGCCATTATCTGCTACCGGAAAAATGCAATAACAAAACTGTGGTGATAATTTAGTGCTTCAAATCGCAATACTGCCCGAGATTAACTCCCTAGAAAACTCGAAGTGGCAGTGAAAGGGCCTGTGGACGCTGAATAGTATCACCTTAAGAACTCAGTATGCCTTAAGAACTCAGTCACAGTAATTAATTGATAGCTTTCTATGCCAACCAATGTATGAATCTGTATCATTACATGCACAGTGATACTCTATGCCCAGGGATGTTGAGAAAATTTCCAACCTGGGAATGGAACATACTGAGTTCTTAAGGTGATACGATTCAGCGTCCACAAATCATAAGCACTTTCACTGCCACTTCGAGTTTTCTAGGGAGTTAATCTCGGGCAGTATTGCGATTTGAAGCACTAAATTATCACCACAGTTTTGTTATTGTATTTTTCCGGTAGCAGATAATGGCCTCCTGGAAAAACGAAGTGGAACCAGAGCCCGAGGATCTGGATCGTATCACCTAAAAACAATTTCTATGTAAAGATCCCTTCAGACCCATCGCGTGTGTCATAGTGGTCTTTGGTTTTTTGTTCATGATTCCGTTATAAAAAAATCTGGGACTTTGAACAGTTATCTGAAGTCTATGACTTGGAAAATTGGTAACTACACTGCAATGCTCATTTCTGTTTGCAAACTTTGTAAACATATCAAACAGAAATGAATAAATAGTGTATTAAAGAATAATATTTTTTTTTTTTTTTTTTTTTTTTTACCAGCATATCCTGCTTGTAAATAAATTTGTACAAAATTGGCACAGTTGTGTGAGACATAAATACAGTGGGTAAACATCCGAATGCTGAACGGCCTAGAAAAGCATAACAGTCACATTTTAGCTTGATTTCTATTCAAATGGGACTGTTATGCGTTAATGGGTGGTGAAAATCTCTATAATATAGAAAAAATACAGTGGAAAACTTGAGGTTGTAGAGTTGCCCCACCACATTGTGTACCATTATTATAATAGTTGACATTCGTTTGTGTATTGGTTTATTAGGGTTGGTTAGTGTGATAATCGGGTTGTATTTGGGTTATATAATCTTTCTAATGAAATTATGTTTCACAGGAATTGATAACAAGTGTGAGCCTTGCATGAAGTTCTATCGCGATGGCCTTACAACCTCATTTATCAAGATTCTCACCGACGAAGCAGTTTCCTCGTGGAAGTACAACATTCACCATTGCATTCTGATGTCATGTAGCAAATTAATTCACTTGATCGCTCTACACATGAGACATGATAATCTCCACCTACTGAACCTGTTAGCAGTGGTATTCGATCCGGAGAATAAGTTTCAAACTCAAAATGCATCCCGTCAGCTGGAATTATATTTATCGTTAGGAGAATCGGATGAGCCTCTTCAAGAGGGGAAAATATTCGCTAAACCCCCTCCAGAGCCAAAGAATCCTCGCGGTTGGTTAGTGGATCTGATCAACCGTTTTGGAGAATGTAATGGGTTTGACAATTTTTTAGAGCGAATACATACCGGTATTGCACTGTTTCGAAAACACCGAGAGACAACTTCCAGCAAAAGTTTGGAATCCATTAATGACACGATTCGGATAAAAAAGGCTATTGCATCTGCTAGTGCTGCCAGTTCCAATAACATTGTATCCGAAGAAGAAGAAGAAGCAACATTGACACTTCCGCTGCTGCACACTTTACTGCGCCCCTTTGGACAATGTGCCGAACTGTTGACGGTATCTACTATAGAGAAATATTTCATGCCTATTTGGGACGTACTTCTAGAGATACTGGAAACGCTTTCCGACGATGAGCTAAAACGAGAAGCTAAATTTGAAGGGAAAAATGATGTTATTACAGGCATCGTAAAATATGCTCGTGCCTTGATTAATCGTGTTCCGAATCAGGAAAATCTTCTGCGCGCCTTGGAAATGTGCCGACTTAAAATCATTCTACGTGTGTTGCAGATTTCAAGTTTCAACGGTAAAATGAATGCACTCAATGAAATCAACAAAGTTCTCGGATACGTATCGTACTATCCTCATCGTCAAATGACGGAAGATGAAATTGATGTGCTGAATGCTGAAAAAATGGCTGTAAGTATATTATTTGTTTGTTTTTATAGAGGCTTTACCAGCTGTGGAAAGCCCATTTAGCATGAAGTCGTTTAGTACATTATTTAATATATTTAAAGAAATTAGAGTTTCCGAATGAACTAGTTAAGTAGAGCCATTATTTACCAAAAAAAAAGCGTAGGATGAGCAAGATGAGCACCAACAAAATCATATATTTTTGAAAACTACACATGCGTAATCTTAAACAATGATCTTAAAATGATTTAGAAATATTCAATAACTACCGAGATATTGATGAAATCATGCCGAACGAAAAAAAAAACCTTCCCTTTGTAATAAGAATTTGCTATAATCAATATCCCTCTTTTTGTTTCGTTTGTTACAACTTTCAATTATTATTTCAACTGGTATTTAATTTTGATCAACTAAGGAATAGAGGAAATGGATGTAATGTCGGCCTAAATACCTCTAATGTGGGCCCATACCTAAATACAGCAATCGACTAAATTTTCAATAGCGACCAAAAATATCAATTAGTACCGTCCCAATGACGCGTTCATCAAGATAAAATTGATAAATAGCAGAATTTTAGTGATGGGCCCAATCTTAGATCCATAGGCCAACATTAGAGCCATTTCCCCTATAATTCTTAAAAACTAAAAAATAACACCCCATCCTGCCCGGAATGTCTGAGAACGGTGTAAAAAAGTAATTTTTTTAATTTACTTTGAAAACAATCAAATTACTCGAAACTCTTACGAAATTCTTCAGAACTCTCCTAAGAATACGATGAAATTATCTTCTGATTTTTTTTGAAACTTTTATTATTTTTTATTTTATTTTATCGCATCGCCCACTGACATTACCGTCTCTATTTGCTGTAAGGGAATAAAAAACAAGGGGGGGGGACTATTGATGATACTTTGTTCCTTGCCCATAACGGATAAGAAGTGATCATATGAGCAAACCAAATAGGGTTTGGAGAGTACTCCTGGAAATCTTTAATTTTCCTTTCATGTTAGGGTAAAATACATCGAATTCATACCTGTTCATCGTCCGGATCCTTTGTCCAACCAAGAGGAGGATACTTGCGCGGATCTTCCTGTACGCTATTGATGCGATTTTTCTCGGAGTTCCTACGGCACGTCACGGCAAAGTGTCCAATCCGTCCGCACGAATTACATTTCTTTTCTAAGGCGGGGCAAGAGTCCACAAAGGGTGTGGAACGAAAAACCACATCTCCAGCATCGAGTGCGTCGTCTCTGACGGTACTGGGGATTACCTTTGAATTTCTTCGGTTGACCATGACCACTCCTGGTTTCGTTTGTTTTTCGAACCTTTTGAAAAAGCTGGCTCTCACGACGGGATGTTCGTCGCTGATCAACGACAAGTACATCGGGTGGGTCGTGAGACACTTCCACAGCTTGCTCTCCTGCATCGTATACTTCAACTCTCGTACCTGCTTGCACGACATAGCTCGTGTCGTGTCTGTATGTCCTAGCAGCCATTGCTAGCTTTCGGTTTTCCATGCCTATCAGCAGCTGAGTGAGAATAAAACGCGCTTGGTCAGACTATGCTGTAACCACAGAGTCGCACTTTCTGGGTCAGTCTGGCATGGAACGTAACGATTGATTCGCCTTTCATTTGACGCATTGCTTGGAAGGCTTCATGCTCCGCGGCCGTGTCGGTCATCGACTTGAAGTAGGTGCTTACCTCCTCAACCAGCTTCAAGTAGCATCTCGGATCCCGATAGTTTGGTTGCAGATTTGCTGCGTTAATTATGTCCTGTAGATGCTTACCCATCGATAGGTACAACAATTTAGCACGTTTTGATAACCCAGTGAAAGTGGACAACGATGCTGCTATCTCGAAATTTTCGATAAAACTCTGCTAAGATTCCCAAAGTTTATTCGACGGGATGTTCTTGGGAAACTTAGGGATAAGATCCCAACGGATATTGCATCCTCTTTCTGCTAGGCCAGCAGGGAAAGATGGTTCGAAGTAATTTCTTCGCTTCGGTCAAGATTGTCCGTCACTGGCACAGTTACAGGCGTACGATTTGCTGAGAAATTTCCCACCATTACCTACAAACGGCGCAATCTTTCATCCGTACTCTCACCGGTTTCTACGGTTTCGTGAGCAGCAACCTCCAGTTCGTCTGCGTGATAAGATGATCCATCAACCTGTTCTACGTTCTCTTCGAGCAGATCGTTGCCAACAATCGGGGCTAAAATATATTTTCCTCCGTCAAAAGTGTTATCTATCAAATGGAAAAAAAATTATTTGAATTAGTTTATTGGATTCGCTGAGAAAAAACAAATTAATCATCCATGATTTTCACAGATTCCTTCCAAAAAATGCCATAAAGCAAAGAAGAGTTTTAACTTCCATACCACTACCGCTTCACTCCGGTAGTCTTCTTGATACACCATGATCTACTTTCGATCAATGTTCCGGTGGTCTACCAGAGGCACCATAATTAATTTCCGACCATTGTTCCGGTGGTCTTCCAGACGCACCTTTGACCATCAATGGTCACAAACCATGAACATCATACCGGTGGTCTTCTAGACGCACCTTGGATCATTTTATGTCACAAAGCATTTGTAAGCAACATTCCGGTGGTCTTCCAGGCGCACCATGGACCATTGTAGGTCACAAACCACTGACACCAATATTCTGGCCGTCTTCTAGACACGCCATCGCATTTCTAGGTTAGTCGATTCTCCGATGGTCTGCGAGACACATCCATATTTCAATCAAGAGAAAAAATTAATATCCAGTTCTCTGGCTATTAATCCTCCTGGCAGGATCGCCAATGTGGAGTTCTGCCTTCCGGAGGGAAGCTCAATTGTTCCAGGGTGTGGTTTGGTGGCCGTTGTGGGAGTTCCACTGAGGGCTTACCTATGCGTCCGTACGCGGTCGCGGTCCGAGGGCTATGAGGACGTGTTCTCGTTGTCACCCGTCGCGCCTGTTGAGGAGTGCGCAGGGTTATGTGCAAGATTGATAGTGAGCGGCTCGCATCTCTATGCGGAGGGTATTCGATACCGCACAGGTATACGCCATCACTCCTCCTCAACGACCCATTCGCAGGCCAATCCGTTCACGTAATATCTCCAGCTTGACCCGTGCCAACGGCTTAGTCAGCGCGTCCGCTAACATGTCTTCTGATGGACAGTAGACGACGTCAATCTTCTTCTGCTCAACCATGTCACGAACGAAGTGGTACCTGATGTCCACGTGCTTGGACCGTTTAGTTTCTCCGTTTTGCTTCAGTAGTTTAATGCAGCTCTGATTGTCCTCGTGAATTCTTACAGGTTGCTTAACTTCCTCACCAAAGTCCTTCGTGAGTTTTAATATCCATTGCAACTCTTGACAACTCTCGGATAGCGATATGTATTCCACTTCTGTAGACGAAAGCGCCACACATCCTTGTTTCCTTGCAGTTCAAGATATTGTTCCGTTACCAAGTCGAAACATATAAACAGAGTTGGACTTCCGGTCGGTAATGTTTCCGGCCCAATCAGCATCCGCATAGCCTTCCAGATCTCCTTCTCCGCCAACGTACAGTTTCAAATCACAAGTACCTACCAGGTAACGAAGCACACGTTTAGCCTCTACCCAGTCGCCAGCAGTGGGTTGGCTCACCTTGCTTCTCAGAATAGACGTGCTAATAGCAATGTCTGGTCTTGTATGCACAGCTAAGTAAAGCAAACCCCCAATGAGACTTTGAAATTTGTCATTAGTTGGTAGTCTATCGCTTTCCTTCTTTTGCTGCATATAACCTGTGTCCATCGGGATCTTTGACGGTTTAACTTCCTGCATACCGAAATGATCCGCCAATTTCCGAATGTACGCCGTTTGACTGAAGCAATACTACTCGTTCTTCTTCTCTACCTGTATTCCAACGAACTGTTGAATATCTTCAAGTTGGGTTAGGTCGAATTCGGCTCCCAAGCGCCTGAAAATCTCATCGTACTCCTGCTGACTTGAACTTGCGACCAACATGTCATTGACATACAGCAATATGAATGTCGATTTCTGACCTCGATGACGCACATACAGACAAGGGTCTGCATCAGACGGCTTGAATCCCATTTGTCGTAGAACACTATCGATTTTCTGGTTCCACATCCTTCCCGATTGTCGAAGGCCGTATATGCTCTTCTTCAACAAGCAAACTGTATTACTCCTCATAAATTTCACTCCAGGAGGCACTCGCATATAGATCTGCTCGTCTAGATCACCGTTGAGATACGCGGTCTTGACATCTATATGTTTCACTATCATACCTCTCCTAGCTGCGATAGTAGGTAGTGTTCGAAAGGCTACCTGCTTCGCAACGAGAGCAAATATTTCATCGAAATCCGTACCGTAGACTTGGGTGAATACCTGGGCAACGAGACGTGCTTTATAACGAATCACGTTCCCGTCCTCGTCATACTTGCGTTTGAACACCCAGCAGCATCCTACGATTTTCCTTCCAGGTGGTGCATCGGTTTCCTCCCAGGTTTGATTTTTCCGAAGTGATTCCAGTTCATCCAATATTGATTGAATCCACTGCTCCTTTTCAGATCCACTGACAGCCTCCTGATAAGAACGTGGTTCGCCAGACAACTCATTCACGGGACTGTTAACCTGATAACGCTGTGACGGAACTCCAAAGTTACTACGCCGCGACCGACGCATTTCGCCGTCCGGCAGCTCCTCCTGACCCTAGTATCGGCGGTAAAATGAACTTGCTTCAAATCCTTCGAAATCTTCTTCATCTGCATCTTCATATTCACTCAATACACTTCCATTTTCATCATCAATTTCCGCACCGTTAGTGGGAACTCAACGACACTACCTGATTCCTCCGAAGCCTGCTTTGTCGGATGGAAAATCTCCAACTGCTCCTGCTTCAGAAATCTTACATCCTTGCTTATGACGACCTTGTCCGTTTTCAAATCAATCATTCGGTACCCCTTATGCTGCGAAGAGTACCCGATGAATGTCATCCGTACGGCCTTTGGTTCCAG